GGAGGAGGGGGAGGGGCCGGGCCCGGAGAGGGGGAGGGCAGAATGCAAGCCCCACAACAGCATCCTCCAGTTCATGCACCCCCCCCCCCCAAAACAAAATGCGAGTCCCATAACCACATCCTCCAACCCCCTTCCACCCCCTATAAAAACAACAAAATGCAAGCCCGACACAACAGCATCCCCCAACACACCCTGTCTCTTATACACATCTAGATGTGTATAAGAGACAGGGGTGATGCCTTATAGGGTATGTGGAGAGAATTGCGGGGTGTGCAAAAGGGGTTGTATAGGGGAGCGAGAGAGGAAGAGAGGGAGAGCGAGCGGGGCTATATTAGGTTACCAAGGATCTGCTTGTAGTCGGTGAGAGAACAGAAGGGATCAGAAGCGAGGGGTTGTAACATAATTGTTTTGTCAGAGTTCCAACGACTTACCAAGAGGCTGAATCCTAACAGTTTGCAGAATCTCTTCCTGATCAGATGAAGTTGGACAATCACGTGCTGTCATAAACAGCAACTTATCGGTACACGCTTCATCATAAGCCAGCAATTACATCCACGAGACTAAGAGAAGTTTGCGAATGCGAGAGTTTTATGCAAGAATGTTGTGGGGAAGGAGAAAGGGCGCGCATGGGGGATTCACGATCGTAAGATGTGAGTATCAGATCTCAGTAGCATTGGAGGTAGGAGGTAAGGGGCGGGGGGTAGGGAAGACAGTGATAGCATGGGTGAAGCGTTTGTCAATATCAGGAAATTACATTTCAGGAAAAAATGCACGATGGGTGTGCGGGAGGCGAAGAGGGCGGTCATGGGTGATAATAGCGCATCAGATTTTGGTAGCATCGGGGGTAGGGGTAAGGGGAGGGGGGCGGGAAAGACAGCGATAATATGGGTAAAAATATGTCTTTGTGCATTCAGTATTGGAAAATTTTAATCCGACTATCGACAATATGTGCAGGATAATTTTGGGGTTGGGGATCAAGGGGAGGGGGTCGGGAGCGTGAGACGGGAGAGAGGGAGAGCGAGAGATAATAAGTGAGGAGAGCGCGACTTGGAGATGGGGGGAGAGAGAGAGAGAGCGAGAGAGGGAAAGAGAAGGGATGTTCAAGAGAGTATGTGAGAGACGGATAGTGAACGAGTGAAGGAGCGAGTATGGGTGGCCTGAGATCGCCTATGCGTCGAACAGGAATCGAAAGCAGGTTTGGGCTGGATTTGTCAACAATGGTTCTGAGTGTGTGCGAGAGTACTATAGTTATATAAGTAGCAATATATGTGAATCATACTGTATTCAGGGGCAAGGGTTCTGTCCGAAGTTTATGATTATATGTTGTAGCCAAGTGCATGGGCATGCGTGAGTGTGAGGCTGGGACTAATTAAAGGTCAGTCGTGGAGGCTCGGGTAATCAGGAGGGGATGTGATCGTATAGGAAGAGAGAAGTCGTACACATGCGAAGTCGTATACAGCGAATGGATGGTTACATGTGCGTCATAGGTACGTTGACATACAAGTAATCGTGTGGAGAAGTAATGTTGGGGGTGGGGGAACGGGGGGAGGGGGGTGGGGAGGTGTGTGTGTGTATGGGCATGCGTGCGTGTTGGGGGAGGGGGTTAATTGGGGGGCAGAATCGACTAGTAGTGATGTCATGGGTAAGGACCAGTGGAGGGGTTTTAAGGGTTATGTTGAGGAGTGTGAAAAGAGGGAGGGAGTGTGTGAAATGATATATAGTAGGTATACTAAGTGAAGGAGGGGGTTAAGAAATATCAAGGGAACGTATATGCAGGTTATGCGCTAATATGGCGCACCCAGTTTGGACAGGGATGGTTACACAGCATGTGCGGAACCAGGAAGCGTCTAATTGTGCTAGCGTGCTATCTTATCAAAAACAGATTTAGGAGGTCAGCAGGTGGGATTTACCCCTGCATTGCGACAGGACAACGTCCGGTGTATGTGTGTAAAAGTGCATCATGCAACCATAGCAACCCAAAAATAGGGAACCTCCATCATTTTTGCAATAGTTAGCACATAAGCAGCATTAGAAGCGTACCTTAGTTGCCTTGATGTTGTAGCCATTCTCCATGTAACTGTTCAGCGGGTAGCACCTTGAGAGGGGGAGAGAGAGAGAGAGAGAGAAAGGCGAGAGGAGGGAGCGACATGGTCAATGCCATCAGACACTAGCAGGGCTAGTGGAGGAGGGGTGGAGCATCCCCTAAAGCGCTTTTCGCCGCTTGCGCCGGTCACGGCTCATCAGAGGGTGATAATCCTCTGGCTCCCAAAAAAATAGTGACAGGGTGTGGTGGTATGAGTGGAGCAGGGGGGTAGGTAGTAATCACTTACCATGTGCTCGTTGGCATCAACCTCGGCGAGAAATTCATCCAGGGCCGCCATCTCTGTCCACAAACTCTTGCGAGAGTACATCCACTGTGATCGCAGTATCGGGCTATTCAACCTAAGTTCTGCCGAACACGGATCACCAGAGGTCCGTATTTCCACCGTAGTGGAGATCAGACAGGAGGAATAGATGGTGAGAGGATAGGGCCCTCCTTTCTCAGGTAGCTATGGAGGGTGGAG